CAACATCACAACAATTTCAAATTCTATCAATCCCCAAGAAAGAGAAATTAAAATTTGTGCAAACATTAGCTATCACGTAATATCCAAACCTCTTATTTGGAAGTTAAGTTTTGGACTCAAATGGATGGGATGCATCATGAGGTGTGTAAGATATGTTTCCCAATATAGTCTCTGGCGATGAGATTCTTTATCACCATATTTATTTATCGTGGGATCGGTGTGTCAATAGTTAAATCTTTGTAAGACGGAAAAGAATAAGATGTTAGTCGGGATTAGAATAACGAGAACTAGTTTGTGAATGTGTCAGTACATAGCTCTTTGTGGATAATAGTTGGTTTTGTAAAACTGATCCGAATTAATGTGAACTGTCCTTAAGACTCCTCCATCTCTATGGAGCGGCTAATTAGAACAACTACTGAATTGTGATAAATCTAAGGTTTTCTCACAAGATTTAAGAGTCTAAAATATGGTATATTCTTACATATATTTTAGTAATACCAATGTTCAAAATTTGCTAAACGCTAACTAGACATTCCTAGATGATTTGGCGCCTAGGAAACTAATTAATTAGGTGTTATAGAACTTGTTGTTCTTATTCTTATTAATGAATGAAGTTCGTTACATATTTATACATGATGAGGGGAGACAAATCCCCATTGGGCTAGTAAACCCTAAAGCCCAAAAGCCCACTAAGATAAGATAGACCGTCATAAGGAGAATCATCTAGAATATGGACATGGGCCTTCTAGAATATGGATTAGGCCCAACGGTTATGGAGTCCATCCGACCATGCGGTCTACAACACTCCCCCTTGGATGACATAACCGTGTAGATGCCAAAGGATCTCAGTAATACGCTCGGGGATGCTGCCTCATTAAAACCTTACCAGGAAAACCCATTGGGACAAAACCATGGTTAAGGAAAAAGAGTACAGCACGTATTACTCCCCCTGTTTTGGTCATCCCTGCAAGTCCTTAAGTCTCCGCATTCCGATTTGATGCGTGAGCTTCCTCAATGTCGATGTCGGTAACGCCTTGGTGAAGAGATCGGCTGAGTTGTCGCTGGATCGAACTTGTACCACTTGAACTTCTCCATCCCTTTGCAAGTCATGCGTGAAGAAGAACTTTGTTAGAATGTGCTTCGTCCGATCTCCCTTGATGTAGCCGTCCTTGAGCTGAGCGATGCAGGCCGCATTGTCCTCGTACATGATCGTTGGTTCCTTCTCTTCGTCCATGCCACAACTGGACCGTATGTGTTGAGTCATCGACCGCAACCATACACACTCACGGCTGGCCTCGTGTATCGCTAAGATCTCCGCGTGATTGGATGAAGTGGCTGAGATGGTTTGCTTCATTGAACGCCATGAAATCGCGGTTCCTCCGTGTGTGAATACATAACCTGTTTGTGACTTACCATTATGCGGATCTGATTGATAACCTGCATCAGCAAAACCAACTAAACCTTCTTTGTTATGGTTAGCATAAAATAGACCCAAATCAACAGTTCCTTGTAAATAACGTAAAAGATGCTTAATCCCGTTCCAGTGCCTTTGGGTCGGACATGAGCTAAATCTCGATAGGAGGTTCACGGCAAAACAAATGTCTGGTCTAGTGTGGCTAGCCAAGTACATTAACGCTCCTATGGCACTGAGGTATGGCACTTCAGGACCGAGAACTTCTTCCTCGTCCTTCTTCGGACCGAATGGATCACTATCCAATCCGAGGCTTCTCACCACCATTGGGCTGCTCAATGGGTGGGCCTGGTCCATATTAAATCTCTTGAGTACTTTTTCAGTATATGCCTTTTGATGCACAAGGATTCCATTATTCACGTACTCAAGTTGCAATCCCAAACAGAATTTTGTCTTGCCTAGGTCTTTCATCTCGAATTCTTTCTTTAGATATTCGACTGTTTGGGCGATTTCCCCAGAGGTTCCAAGGATGTTTAAATCATCCACATATACTGCTATTATCACAAACCCTTTGTTTGCGAATTTCTTTATGAAGATACATGGACTGATGGGATCATTTTTATAACCTTCTCTGACTAGGTAATCGCTTAATCTATTGTACCACATGTGCCCACTTTGTTTCAGTCCATAAAGCGATTTGTTCAGCCTTATGCAGTATTGGTCTCGAGACCCTTTCTTATCTTTATCTTTGAGCTCAATACCCTCTGGTAATCTCATATATATTTCATTATCCAGTGGACCATATAGATAAGCGGTCACAACATCCATTAACCGCAAATCAAGATTTTCTCTTATTGCCAGACTTATTAAGAATCTAAAAGTCGTTGCATCCACCACAGGGGAGTATGTTTCTTCATAATCTATCCCCGGTCTTTGCGAGAATCCTTGTGCTACAAGCCGTGCCTTGTGTCTCACGATTTCATTATTCTCATTTCTCTTCCTTACAAAGACCCATTTGTGTCTTACTGGTTTTATCTCAGATGGTGTCCTTAATGTCGGACCAAACACATCTCTTTTCTTTAATGAACTTAACTCCACGTTTATGGCTTCTTTCCATTTTAGCCAATCTGATCTTTGAGTGCACTCTAATATAGACGTGGGTTCATGATCCTCATTCATTTCAATTGCTACCTTATATGCAAATATTTCATCGATGTCGACATCTTTGCGGTTCCATTTTATTCCAGACATGATATAATTTATTGAGATCTCATTATTATCTATCCCTTCAGAACCATGAGGATTGGCGTCCCAAATCTCTCTATTCGGTTCCTTAGGGTCTGCCGCGGCCATGTCTATGGTTTCCTTGACCTCGTTTCCTACTGCACCTTTCTTTGATTTTCGAGGATTTTTATCTTTGGAACCTATTGGTCTGCCACGTTTCTTACGTGCGTTAGACTCTGTAGCAATTTCATTGATTCCCTTTTGGATATCAATGCGTACTGGTGCATTACAAGCTGGTATGTACGATTTTGTAACTTTCTTTGGGTCAACAAAGGAATCTGGCAATTCATTAGCTAGCTTTTGCAAATTTATTATTTTCTGGACCTCTGATTCACATGCCAGAGTCCGAGGATCTTGCCAATTCA